GCCTCGGGGCCGCTCCCCGTCCCGGCTCGGATCGCGGTCATTTCCGCAGGGGGAAGTTGGATTTGCTGGGTTTAGTTACTGCGCACTCCAAGGGAAGTTCAGGCAGCTCTCCTGGAAGGACACTAGAGGAAAGCCTCCAGTGATGCGCGGCAGGAAAAGCGGGTGTGAGGCTCTCTTCCCCAACTCTTTGCTGCAGATCGCTGAAGGACAGTCCGTTTAAGATTAGAGATATGAAATAAGAGTTTGACAAGGAGGGTGGTGAAACACTGACACAGGTTATTACAGGTGGTGGATGTCCCATCCCTGGAAACATTTGGATGCAGCTTTGAGCAACCTGGTCTGGCTGAGGATGCCTGTGGCAGAGGGGAGTTGGACTAGATGACCTGCAAAAGGATCCTTCCAAATCAAACTATTCTATGATTCTGAGGTTTCTGATCCTGGTTTACTGCGCTCTTGGCATCAGTGGGTCCTTGTCTTGTTCCCACTGCCAGCTCCAGCCAACAGGCAGCATTCCATTTCACTCAAGGACCAAAAAACCCCACCCACAGCAGGCACCTCAGCATCTCTTCAGGTACCATTGTAGGTACCATTTCTAGAAGTCATATTTTTGAAGGCTTTTGGCTGGCTGTACAATAGATATTTTTTTATTCCTTCTACAGTTAGCATTTAGTCTCATTTCCCTGCACTGAAACAAACCCAGCCTCTCAGGAGAGGCTGAAGTGCAGCCAACCTCACTTTGGAGAAAGCTGTGGCTCTCAGAACCTGGGCTGTCTTTGTCTCCTGGTTGTTTGGACTCCCTGTTAGCTCTCCAAACTTCTCAGCAGATTCCCTGTTACTTGCAAAAACATTTATTGTGCATTATTCTGCCTTGTTTCAACTGTGCCTCAGTTTGGTTTTATAACCACCTCTGCCCTGGTTTGTGTTTAATGGATCAGTGCTTATGGTTTCTTTCGATTTTCTTCTCTGAATGTAACTTGTTTTTAATGACCTCCTGAGCTCTGCTGCTCCTTTTTGCCCTTTTCCCAGTTTGTCCTGATACTGATATGCACTTACACTGCCTCGGTGATCATGTTTCTGTTGTTCCCTCAAAACCTTTTAGCACTTTAGATGTTCCTTTTACCTTCTTAAAAAGGTTCTTTGGTTTTATACAGCTCCCCTTTTCTGTGGTGCTTTATTGCTGTCCATGGGCCACATCAAATAAATTAAAAGGAGAAGGGCAGAAGGCACCAGAGATTCAGACAATGAGGTTCAGAAATTAATTTCTGTAAATCACCATTGCTTCAGCCAATATTGAAGGGGCACATCCTAAATTTAAGCACCTAGAGCAGGCAGAGAGCCAATAAGGTTGTTTTCCAGAGAGTCAGAGGGATAATAATAATAAGGTTGTTTTTATATTTCAGGTTGTGCTGTGGAGGGATTGAGAACAGCCTGAAAGAAAGAGATGTGTCACAATGTTATCACCCTGCACCTGCAGCACGGCAGAGGTGGCCCAGCCCACAGAAAGGCTGCAAAGGGGATGGATTATGAAAAACAGCTTTTCTTCTTTGCTAGAATCTGAGCATGTTATTGACACAAAGCAATAGTCAGTGGGGAAAGATCCACATAACTGACAAACCTTTGGGACATTACCAACATGCACAGAATTAAATCCTCCTCTGCCTGAGGTGGAAGGGGCTACAACAAATGACAGATTCTTCTAAACTCTTGTTTTTCCCCAATGCAACCCATGAGCAGTTTTGCTGCACTCCCCCAGATTGCTGGAGTCCTTACACAAATAATTTGAATTTCAGTATTTGCATGTCTGAGGGAAGGAGCAATGTGAATATTTCATGCCTGATGTGTGAAGCATTCCCAACCTCCCCCTGAGTCTCCCCAGGCCACGGTGAAGGCTTTGTGTGAATCTGTACCAGAGATAAGCTCCTTCCTTCCTCTCAGCACAGGACATGGAAACTATTTGTTTCGTGCCACCTCCTGTTTCCACATTTCTTAGGTAATTTGTTTGAGGGCTTGAAGTTATCTCTGGCAAACAATTTATCTTGGCAATATTATTTAATTGTGGTGGAAATGGGTTCCAAACCATCAGGACTTGCAGAAGAACCAAAGGCCTGGGGATGTTTTTAGTGCAACACCAGCTCTCCATGTATTGAAACAAGTCTATTGAAACATGCTCCACATGTTCAGCTAAAATATGGGGAGTAAAGGACTCAACTGATTTGTTTTTAAGATCAGGAGGAAATCAGGAATCTGTGACCGATGTGCGGTGCTAAAACACAAAGAAAAAGCAAACTGAATTTAAGAATTTCTGGTCAGCATAAATTTAAGCTTCTGCATAAGGTCTTAAACATCTGCAGTACTGTTAAAAAAAGATGTCACAGTACCTAACTTCTTTGTAACTCCTGGATAATTCTGGTATCTCAGCCAGCCTGAGATAAAAAGCACAAGAATGGTAGTTTTCTCAAGGGTTAAACACACTGTAATTGAATAAAAAATAAGAGAATATTATTTGTTTTCATTTTTATTCCGACATAAATAACATTAGTTACATTAAGGAAAACACCAAGGGAGAAGGCAGATTTAGAAAACGATCAGCTCTTATGATTTTGTGTCTATAAATATTTACATAATTACACTTGAAGAGCAGAGACATTGGCATAGACAAATTTCCTTTCGTATGTGCAACCAGCTGTTGGGAAATAGAAGAAATATGCAAAATCAAGCTTTTCAGAAGCCCCCAATATTTCAGCACAGAAGAGGAGACAAACAGGCACGTGAGCAGCTGTATTTTATTCCATTATCAGCACACAGCACCCTCGTGCACTGTTTGCCCGTGTCCCACTAGATGGTGGTCATGCTACAAGAAAAAAAGGATGCGGGAGCGTGCCCGAGTTGTCAACCTTTCTGTTTGTCATCCTTCACCATTTTTGTTTTAAAAATATCCTCAGCTCACACACTGCAAGGGTTTTGCCTGTATTTTTGAGCCACTGGGTCTGTATTAATACACAGTGGGAAATCCTGAATTAGTGTCATATAATATTTCCATATCAAACAATTTAACTATTGATGTTTAGGCACAGTGAACAACTGCTGAACATGCTCTTGAATTAAGTGCCAAATCACATTCCTGATGTTCTCAGAAGTGAAATCATAGAATCACAGATGGTTTGGGTGGGAAGGGACCTCAAAGCTCATCCCATTCCTCCCCCTGCCATG